ACATTTTACAGATCTTTCCGGAGAATATGATATTAAAAGCCAACTCGACAGATTGAAAGATCGATATTCATCTCCAGATTCAACATTTCCAATATAAACTTTGTCTCACTTAAGACAGTCTCATTTAATGCAGATGATTATCTCACTCAAATTTGTTTTTCTTAAAACATACTTTGTCTCACTTGAGAATGTTTTTCTCGAAAGAAGATTCATTTCACTCAAGATTATTTTTCTTAAAACAAGATTTGTCTCGCTTAAGACCGTTTTCACTCGAAAGAAGGCATTTCATTTCACTCAAGGCTATTTTTTTTAAGAAGATTTTATCTTGCTTGAGATAGTTTCCCTCGAAACAGAAAATTTTGTCTCACTTGAGACAATTTCTCTTGAAAACATTTCCCTTGAAATTAATTTTTTCTCTCATGAGATAGTTTCCCTCGAAACATAAAATTTTGTCTCCCTTGAGACAGTTTCTCTTGAAACATAAACATTGAAAACATTTCCCTTGAAATGATTTTTTTTCTCTCTTGAGATAGTTTCCCTCGAAACAGAAAATTTTGTCTCCCTTGAGACAGTTTCTCTTGAAACATAAACATTGAAAACATTTCCCTTGAAATGAATTTTATCTCGCTTGAGACAGCTTCCCTTGAAACGAATTTTGTCTCCCTTGAGACAGTTTCTCTCCAAACATAAACTTTGAAAACAATTTAACGAAATCTTTGAATATGTTTTCCTTCAAACAAATTTTGTCTCCCTTGAGACAGTTTCTCTTGAAATGACACAATTTGCTCGAGAATAGATTTCAACTTCACGACGAAGGATGTCTAGCTCGAAGCCAAACATCCGCGATTTCAACTCCACGACGGAGGATATCGTGACACTCGAGACAACACAAGTTCAACTTCACAACGAAGGGACGACTGGTTGTTAACAAACAACTTCTCAATTTCAGAGCCAATTTCAACTTCACAACGAATGATATTGGACTCCAGACAACACAAGTTCAACTTCATAACGAAGGGACCGCTGCTTGTCAACAACAACTTCTCAATTTCAGAGCCAATTTCAACTTCACAACGAAGGATATTGGACTTCAGACAACGAAAGTTCAACTTCACGACGAAGGGACTGCTGCTTGTCAACAACAACTTCCCAATCTCAGAGCCAATTTCAACTTCACAACGAAGGATATTGGACTCCAGAAAACGCAAGTTCAACTTCACGACGAAGGGACCGTTGTTTGTCAACAACAACTTCCCAATCTCAGAGCCAATTTCAACTTTACAACGAAGGATATTGGACTCCAGACAACGCAAGTTCAACTCCACGACGAAGGGACCGCTGCTTGTCAACAAAATTTCATTCAGAGTCAATTTCAACTTCACAGTGAAGGATATTAGTCTCGAGACAACACAAGTTCAACTTCACAACGAAGGGACGGCTGGTTGTCAACAAACAATTTCCCGGTTCCAGAGCCAATTTCAACTTCACGACGGAGGATATTGGACTCGGAACAATGCTACTTACTTGGATTTCAACTTCACGACGAAGGATATCCAACTCAAAGAAGGATTATCTGCCATCAAAATTGTCGAGTTCGACTCCATTCAGCTCGATGACACATCAATTGCACTACTTTCCGGTTGCAGTCGAGGTTTTCAAGTCGAGAAGATGACCTGGGTTAGCCTTGCCTTAGTGACAAGCAACCATTTTCAAACAACATAGCTTAAGTCAAGAAAAAGCTATCTGTCAATGAAGATTTCTGAGTTCGATTCCGATCCAAGGTCTTTAAACCGAGAAGAAGATCGAAGGGTAATGGGAAGCCACGTGCTGATTCAAATTCCGAACTACGGCTTCAATTTCATATCATTTCAAGATGAACTCGACTTCACGATGGAGGAGTCATCCGTAACTCAATTCGACAAGGAGTTATTGAAACATCAGAGTTAATTTTCAACTCCACTGAACGAAAAGTGTGTCTTTTAATCTTTGCCCTATCCCCGTTACACGACTATGGGCAAAGAGGGGCAGCTGTCAACACACATTTTCGTCCTACTAGGATTCAAACTCCTAAAAATAAGATAAAATTTTGCTAGGATTCAAACTCCTAAAAATAGGATAGAGTTCTACTAAGATTTAAATTCTTAAAGATAGGATCCACAAGCACTATAAATAGTCATTGTAACTCACCATTGTAACACACAAAACATAGAGGAAAGCACGGGAAGATACAAAGGCAAAACTATTGTAAAGGATTCGAAAAGGAAATAAAAGGTAGCATTTTCATTTTTTTTCTTTTGCATGTGCACGTTATTTTTCTTGAGATTTGGTTCGAATAACCCAAAACGTGGGTTGCGCCGATGACCAAAATGGGTGGGGTTTCGAAGTTTCGAACCTAGATCTATCCCAAGGCTTATTTTTAAAAAACCGGTATGATTTTCGGTTAAAGGAGGGGAAAAGCTTTTTAAAAATCTATATTAGTCCATTTATCTATTATATGGATATTTTATTCATTTATTTTTATTATTCATGTTATTATTATTATATGTATATATATATATATATATTAAATTATTTTCATTTATTTTTTTACTATATTTTATTATTATTATATATATATATTTCTTTAGTATTTTACTTATAAATCTAATATTACTATATATAATTATTACTTTACTACTTTTTTTCTTATCTTACTTATTTATTTTATTTTTTCCCTTGTATCTTATTTGTTTTCTTTACCTTGTTTAACTAACACATTTCTCGATTTTTTTAAAGGATATTTTCAAATCAATCAAGGGTAAGTAATTAGGATCGAAACTTTACCTTTTAATTTAACTTGTTATTTTTCTTAATTAAGACAACTGGAAATTACGTAGTACCTGTTCGCGTTTTGTGAGTACTATAAAATATACGCAAATAATGTGCAAGTATACACAATCGCTCAAGTAATATAATGATGAGTGAGTATCGTCTCCACAGGGATTGGGTGAAATCACAAAAGTCTAACCAAAGCAATGCACTAAATTATCTAAGTATAGTTAGTCTTGATATATACAAATGTCACGGCAATGGATATGTGTATGCTGGTGGATGCGGATTGATGGTGTGATGGTGTAGCAAATGGAAATGCAGTGGCAATGATGGATGTTTAATGTTGAGTATGGTGAAATGTTGAGGCAATGAGAATTGGTAAAAACAATAAATAAAAGATAAATAAAATAAGAAGAAAATAATCCTCACGTGACAAGCTTCCAATGAAATGAATGGTAAGGATTGATCTAAGGTTGCTAAACTTATTTCTCAAGTATATTTAAGCTAACTGGTCTTTACTTACTCGACAGGGCTTTCCTAAAGTGTTCAAAAGAACCTAACAGAATGGGATGCCAAGGCATCTGCTCTCACTCAACGATGTTGGACAGCCTACCCTATTGATAAAGACACCCTTTTTAGTCGTTGAAATCCTATCCTAGTCTCTTCCGAGATCTAAGGGATTAAGTTATAATATTCCTAGGCCGGTTCAAAGCCCCTTGAAAATACCATAACCCATTGCTTATGAGGATCTTATCTTGCGTTTCTTCCGAATACTTACAAGTATTTTTAGTTTAGGATTCTTCCGAATACCTAACCTTCATCTAAGAGATCGACATTTCCATGCCTCTTACAAGCCTAGATGGTGAACCATTCATAAGCAAAGCAAATAAAGAGCCAAAATAAACTTAAATATACTATTGAAAATAAAGTTCAAACAACCATTCAACCAACCACCACCAAATAAGTTAGTTCATGGTGGGGTTCGAAATATCCAAACACAAAGTCATGAAAATTCGTTCCAACAACCCACAAAATAATATAAAAAATAGTAGCAAAAAGGGCAGTGAGAAGAAGCCTTCGACGCGCCACCGGAGGTCTCCTCTCGACCACCACGAACCACCTAGCTTTCTAGCTCCTTTCGGCGCCTAGCTTGCCACTCCTTAGAGCTTTGTCAATGGAGAAATATCCCAAGGAAGAAGAAAGGGAAAGAGAAAATAAAATATGTGATTTTTCTTGCTCTATGCGTGTGCTCACCTGTCCGTCTATCCCTCTCTCCCATGAGGTGTCATATATAATAAATAAAATATCTAGGGGTAATGATGAGTTTGTTGGGTGCAAAATACCCCTCATACCCCTAGGATCACATTTTATGCATGAACTTTATCTCCAAGTGGCAGTGGTACATTGGCAGCTCTGGCAGGCGGTTACAGTAGTCCTTCACGTGCAGAGACAGCTGTCCAGTGCCAGCTGTCCTTATGCAGAAATATCTTTTTGTCTTTTTCTGCGCCATAAATGCCAAGGCATTTCAATCTGCTTTAACAACGTGTGATGCCGCGGCATTACTTCCCAAAGAATCCTTTTTCTTACTATTCCCTGCACACCATAGACAAACTGCACCTTTCCCTCAAACAGTACCATTAAGAAATAAAATAGTACAACCACCACAAATGCAACTATATGCAACTACATGATCCTAAAATGACTAAAATGAGCTTTTAAACAAACAATAACTTAAGTGAAAAAGGCTTTAAAAGTAGCCTTTTTAGGAAGTTAACAGTACCGAAAGGGCGGTTCAAGGGTGCTAATCCTTCCTTGACCGTAACCGACTCCCGAGCCCGACATATTTCTGGTAAGACGCAGATCAGGTAAGAAATAGGGTATCCGATCAACCCATTTATTTTTAAATAAATGATCGGTGGCGACTCCAATCCACATTTTTCTAAGTCGAAGCCCAATCCCGGGCACAACCGAAAGACGGTTGCGACACAGGTAAACTGATGCTTTCATTGGTTCATTATTCTCAAAAGGATTTTTTTTAAAAAGAAAGAAAAACAGGCCATTAACCAATCCTTAAAGAAAGAAAGACAGTTCATTAACCTATCATTTTGTAATGTTAGCTTAATATCTACAGTAGGGATAATTCATGCAACTCGAGCGGTTTAACTACATCAGCAAAGTGGAAAACTTACCCAGTTCTAACATCCTCAAAGACATTAACATAACTTTCAATTCCAAGACTATTGATCCATAGTCCAAAACACCTCTCTTCTCTGGAAATTTGAACATCATCAGTCTCCCTTTCTTCAAAAGAGATCTTTTTGCTATCTGTGCTCAGGCCATTCATGCGAAATCACACGTGTTTTTCTTACTTGATTAAAAATCAAAGAGCAGACTTTAGTGTTACTAACCAAACAATCTAAACTACTGACATGATACTGGATTGTAGGCATGGCAAACAATTAAATAACACCAAAGCCGAACTGTTTAAACATTAAGTCGTAGCACTTTCCCCCTAATTTTTAACAAGAAATAATGATGGAAATACTATGCAATTAGAACTAAGCCATTCATGACCTGAAGTACATGATAATATCCATCCACATTGACTCCTAATTTCGTATTAACAATTTTAGAATGTATGTTACAACTGCAAGGCTTGTGATTTCTAACCTTTCATGGAAGATTTGGGCCACAAATGCGAGATTCAAGTTTGTTGAGCCCTCAACAATGTCTTTTGGGCTCAGATACCGTTTGCAGCCTATTCTCTCTGCGTGGTCAAGAACAAGTTTAGCCCTTTCAACGGGATCCTTTGTATCTAGGGTCAACGGATTGCAGTACTCTGGTGCCAGAACATTAAGCAGGTAAGTGTAAGCTTTTGCATCCTGCGTGTACGAGAAAATGAGTAAAATATGTCAAATTACCAATGCAAAATAAAAAACAAAAAACAGAACAATACAATCTTATTGGAGCATAATCCTCCACCTCAACACACTTTATCAGTTTATCCAACCCTTGTGACTCAATGTAAATTAACATATTCAAATACCTTCACATCTGAACAAAAATTAGTAACAGTTTTCTCATAGCCGGCTTTGTTTAAATGGAAATTCATCCATTTCAGTATAACTTTCTCAGGAGCTAACCCCATAAGTTCCTCAACATCCTTCAAGTGAGGATAATTATAAGATAAACAATCAGTTCATTTGTGTAAACATGTTTATTTCATGTTTTATTCTTAATTAAGCATCAATCACATAGTAAGGATATATATTACTGCATTGCTGTCCTCCACCAATTCCACAAGCTGAGGTGTCTTCTTAAGGTTGAGATCTGCTACCAATTGAATCTGCAGTTTCAAAGGTATATGAGAAAGAGAATTGTAGGAATTATAGAGATGATTTGTTACCATTCCTATAGAGATATGATTTTGTAAATAGATTTCTACAATCCCTTATTTTAAGGGATCATATCCTAGGATTATTATTTTTCCTTTCTTAGAGTTTCCTACTTTAGAGAGATATTTTGTATATAAATATGTAATCTGTCATATTGAAAAGAATAAGAAATTACAGAGAATTACTCTGATTTCTACATGGTATCAGCTTAGGTTACGGTTTCTTTCCAACCTAGATGATGTCCACAACTTCTTCTCTTACTCCGGAGATCACTTCAAATCCAGAAAATTTTTCTGGTTCTGCTTCTTAATCAGAAGTTAATATGGTCATGAAAGAACCAGAAGGTAAACCTCATGCTACAATTTTTTTCTCCTCCCAGTCGTCCCCTAATTGGATCCTCGATTCTGGTGCTACGGATCATATGACTGGTAATAAGGATTTGTTTTGCAATTTTTTTCCAAACTTTGGTAAAGCTGTCAAAATGACTGATGGTTCTTTGTGCAAAATAGAATGACATGGCACTGTTATTCTCAATGACCAGATTGTACTTAAAAATGTCCTCTTCGTACCAAATCTGGCTTGCAATCTCGTTTCCGTTAGTAAATTTTCCACCGACTTGCACTGCTCTGGAATTTTTAATGATATTGATTATACTTTGCAGGCACTGAACTCGAAGAAGATGATTGGTAAGGCCAGCTTGCAGAATGGTCTCTACATTCTTCCTGCCTATACTAAAACCGAAATCTCGAAATCTTTCACCGCTTTAGAAAAAGTTGATAATGTTATGTTATGGCACTATCGTTTAGGTCATCCTATTTTTCACAATATCTTGCAAAAGTTTTTCCTGCTCTATTCATTCATAAAAGGCCAAATTATTTTTCTTGAAAAGTTTGCTCTCTTGCCAAACATACTAAATCAACTTATTCTTCTTCTACATATAAGCCTTCTCACCCTTTTGCTTTGATCCACAATGATATTTGGGGTCATTCTCGGGTGAAGAATGTTGATAATTGTAAGTGGTTTATCACTTTCATTGATGATCACAGTAGGATAACTTAGACTTATTTGCTAAAAGATAAATCTGAAACTGCAGGTGTTTTTTTACCCAATTTTATAACATGGTTCTCACTCAATTTGGGTCTAAAATTCAGCTCTTTAAATATGATAATGGTAGTTAATTTTTTGCTAAGTCTTTGGGTGTGTTTTTCAAGGAAAAGGGCATGGTTCAGATTAGTTCTTGTGTTGACACCCCACAACAAAACGGTATTGCCGAAAGAAAAAATAGACACCTCCTTGAAGTTACTCGTTCTCTTCTATTTACCACTAATGTTCCAAAATATTTGTGGGGGAAGCCTTATTAACTGCCACATATTTAATCAATCGAATGCCTAGTAAGGTTTTACAATTTCAAACACCTCAATCTATATTTTTGCAATACTTTCCCCATTTTAAACCTATCTCCTCCATTCTTCCACTTAAAATATTTGGTTGTACTGTTTTTATCCAAAACATTGCTCCTAATAAGTCCAAGTTAGATCCTAAATCATTAAAGTGTGTACTGGTTGGGTATTCTTCACTTAAGAAGGGTTATAAATGCTATCATCCTCCTTCAAAACGATTTTTTACCACTATGGATATAACATTTTATGAGAAGGATCCCTATTTCACTCAGGCTGAAATTCAGGGGGAGACATGGAAGGATTTTCAACCACATCAGGTATCTACTCCTACTATTCATTCTCAACCTTCAGAATTACCACCAATTTTGTCCTTACCTACAGATTTGTCACCTGTAACTACTCTTATTGATCCACCGGTAGTACCTATCACTACTTCACTCATACCCACTTTAAATACCCTTCTTGAAAATACACCTACTCCCATTCAAAATATTCCACAAATAACACCAATCAAACACCTTCGTTTCTATACAAGGAAAAGAAAACATATTCCTGAGTTTGTTTTGCAATCTGATGCTTGTCGAGAATTGGATTTGGGTACAGCTGCTGAAATAGAAGAAGAAATCAATAAGTTCACTTCCCTATTGCTATTAGAGAAGGGGTTAGACAGTGCACCAAGCATCCTATTGAAAAATTTACTGGTTATAAATCATTGGTGCCATCTTTTCAAGCATTTACAACAAACTTGGATAAAGAACAGGTTCCCACAAGCATAGCTGAAGCTCTAAAGGATTCAAAATAGAGAAGGGCTGTTGAAGAGGAAATTTGTGCACTGGAGAAAAATGTTACTTGGACTGTTACGGACCTTCCTCAAGGAAAAAAGGTTGTTGGCTGTAAATGGATCTTTACTGTAAAGTATAACTCAAATGGTAGCATCCAACGATATAAAGCGAGACTAGTGGCCAGAGGCTTTACATAAACATATGGGATATATTTCACAGAAACTTTTGCACCTGTGGCGAAGCTGAATACTGTTCGAGTACTCCTAAGTTTGGTTGTAAATTGCGATTGGAAATTACACCAACTTGATGTAAAAAACGCTTTTCTTAATGGAAAGCTAAAAGAAGAAGTCTATATAAAGTTGCCACCTGGCTTAAAGTCTGTTGAAGGAAGTAATAAGGTGTGCAAGCTCAACAAGTCTCTATACGGGTTAAAACAATCACCCAGAGCTTGGTTCGAGAGGTTCACTGAAATCATCCTAAAAAACGGCTACAAGCAATCCCTCGCCGATCACACTCTTTTCATCAAGGTAACTTCTACAAATAAGAAAGCTATCCTTATTCTGTACGCGGACGACATAATTCTTACCGGAGATGATGAAGAAGAGATTTGCAATTTGAAGAAGTTGTTAAATACGGAATTCGAAACCAATGACTTGGGAAAACTAAGGTATTTCCTAGGATGGAGATAGCAAGGTCAAAAGAAGGACTTGTGATCAACCAAAGAAAATATGTACTTGATTTACTCAAAGAAACTGGTTTTCTTGGTTGTAAGCCGATTGATACACCAATGGAGGCAAGCTTGAAATTTAACAAAGAAGATGGGTCCTTGGTAGACAAAGAGAAATTTCAAAGATTAGTTGGGAAACTAATTTATTTATCCTTGACAAGGCCAGATATAGCATTTCCTGTAAATGTGATAAGTCAACATATGACTAATCCTACTGAAGAGCATATGGAAGCAGCAAATAGAATTCTCAAGTACTTGAAGAAAACTCCAAGACACGGTTTAATGTTTAAGAAGACACAAGACAGAACTGTTAAGATCTTTACAGATTCTAGTTGGGTCGGAGACCTTACTGAAAGGAGATCCACTAGTGGCTACTGCACCTTTGTTTGGGGAAACCTTACAACTTGGAGAAGTAAGAAACAATCTGTCGTTTCAAGAAGTAGTGCTGAAGTTGAATTTAGAGCACTAGCATTAGGAATATGCGAAGGAATTTGGCTACTTAAACTACTGAAAGAACTTGTCATTAATCAAGAGGATCACTTTGAAGTTTTGTGTGATAATCAATATGCTATTCAAATTGTCAAGAACCCAATTCAACATGATCGGACAAAGCATGTTGAGATTGATAGGCATTTTATTACTGATCAAGTTAACAAAAAGACAACCACACTTTCATACATTCCTTCAGAAGAATAAGTTGCAGACATTCTTACTAAGGCTTTGCCAAAGCCTGTTTTCAATAAATTCCTATTTAAGCTGGGATTATACAATGTATATTCTCCAGCTTGAGGGGGAGTGTAGGAATTATAGAGATGATTTGTTATCATTCCTATAGAGATATGATTTGTTACCATTCCTATAGAGATATGATTTTGTAAATATATTTCTACAATCCCTTATTTTAAGGGATCATATCCAAGGATTATTATTTTTCCTTTCTTAGAGTTTCCTACTTTAGAGAGATATTTTGTATATAAATATGTAATCTGTCATATTGAAAAGAATAAGAAATTATAGAGAATTACTCTGATTTCTACGTGGTATCAGCTTAGGTTACGGTTTCTTTCCAACCTAGATGATGTCCACAACTTCTTCTCCTACTCCGGAGATCACTTCAAATCCAGAAAATTTTTCTAGTTCTGCTGCTCAATCAGAAGTTAATATGGTCATGAAAGAACCAGAAGGTAAACCTCATGCTACAGTTTTTTTCTCCTCCCAGTCGTCCCCTAATTAGATCCTCGATTCTGGTGCTACGGATCATATGACTGGTAATAAGGATTTGTTTTGCAATTTTTTTCCAAACTTTGGTAAAGCTATCAAAATGACTGATGGTTCTTTGTGCAAAATAGAAGGACATGGCACTGTTATTCTCAATGACCAGATTGTACTTAAAAATGTCCTCTTCGTACCAAATCGGCTTGCAATCTCGTTTTCGTTAGTAAATTTTCCACCGACTTGCACTGCTCTGGAATTTTTAATGATATTGATTGTGCTTTAAGGGCACTGAACTCGAAGAAGATGATTGGTAAGGCCAGCTTGCAGAATGGTCTCTACATTCTTCCTGCCTCTACTAAAACCGAAATCTCGAAATCTTTCACCGCTTTAGAAAAATTTGATAATGTTATGTTATGGCACTATCGTTTAGGTCATCCTAGTTTTCACAATATCTTGCAAAAGTTTTTCCTGCTCTATTCATTCATAAAAGGCCAAATTCTTTTTCTTGCAAAGTTTGCTCTCTTGCCAAACATACTAAATCAACTTATTATTCTTCTACATATAAGCCTTCTCACCCTTTTGCTTTGATCCACAGTGATATTTGGGGTCCTTCTCGGGTGAAGAATGCTGATAATTGTAAGTGGTTTATCACTTTCATTGATGATCACAGTAGGATAACTTAGACTTATTTGCTAAAAGATAAATCTGAAACTGCATGTGTTTTTACCAAATTTTATAACATGGTTCTCACTCAATTTGGGTCTAAAATTCAGCTCTTTAAATCTGATAATGGCAGTTAATTTTTTGCTATGTCTTTGGGTGCGTTTTTCAGGGAAAAGGGCATGGTTCAGATTAGTTCTTGTGTTGACACCCCACAACAAAACGGTATTGCCGAAAGAAAAAATAGACACCTCCTTGAAGTTACTCGTTCTCTTCTATTTATCACTAATATTCCAAAATATTTGTGGGGGGAAGCCTTATTAACTGCCACATATTTAATCAATCGAATGCCTAGTAAGGTTTTACAATTTCAAACACCTCAATCTATATTTTTGCAATACTTTCCCCATTTTAAATCTATCTCCTCCATTCTTCCACTTAAAATATTTGGTTGTACTGTTTTTATCCAAAACATTGCTCCTAATAAGTCCAAGTTAGATCCTAAATCATTAAAGTGTGTACTGGTTGGGTATTCTTCACTTAAGAAGGGTTATAAATGCTATCATCCTCCTTCAAAACGATTTTTTACCACTATGGATATAACATTTTATGAGCAGGATCCCTATTTCACTCAGGCTGAAATTCAAGGGGAGACATGGAAGGATTTTCAACCACATCAGGTATCTCCTCCTACTATTCATTCTCAACCTTCAAAATTACCACCAATTTTGTCCTTACCTACAGATTTGTCACATGTAACTACTCTTATTGATCCACCGGTAGTACCTATCACTACTTCACCCATACCCACTTTAAATACCCTTCTTGAAAATACACCTACTCCCATTCAAAATATTCCACAAACAACACCAATCAAATAGCTTCGTTTCTATACAAGGAAAAGAAAACATATTCCTGAGTTTGTTTTGTAATCTGATGCTTGCCGAGAATTAGATTTGGGTCCAGCTGCCGAAATTGTAACACCCCCAACCCGTATCCGACCCGGATACGAGTCCGAAGTGTCACATTGACTTTTTAAACATTTATTCGTATAAAATAGTGAGTAATTTAAAAACTTTTATAACATTTAACTTATTCAAAACGTTTACAAAATATATCAGAGTTCATACAATTTATATCTTTAGACTACATGCCAACTACACTCTATATACAGTACATATATTTTCTGATCTGACATTTGGTAAGGTGAACTGACCTGTCTTGCTCCGCATTACTCTTTACTCTTCTCGAAACCTACGTGTGAAACAATCACAAGCTAAGTCGTTGACTTAGTGAGGCAATAAATAAACATATAACAATAAATTAATGAATGTGCATTCATACCATTGAATAATGACATTTCAATATGCATGTATCTATTGCATGATAACAATATATAATCATGTCATACACACATGCAACATACCTTCTTGTATTACTTTCACTTTCATTTGTCTTTCAATTGCATTGCCCATGTATATTATTATCTTTATCAACATCATTATATTTCCGGCAACACATGTCATATCACCAAAAGTATATACATCACATATATTGTATTTGTTATTGTCTCTTTATTCGCCCATGATACCTACATGTAAATCACTTACACGCTAAGTCATAGACTTAGTGAGACATATAACACATATAATAAAACCACAAACCATTTCATATAACATAATGCATACTTATACGTATATCATTAATATACTTATCAGTACTCATATCATTATTACTAATTTCTTTCTATCACGTAAGCATATATTGAACCTTTTTATACTCACCATCGATTATCCATGTCATTTCACAACAAAGCATATATATATAGTATCATAACAAGTTATTTATTATCTTTAAAGCCCTTGCATTAGCCCATGTATACATTTGAGAACTTAAGGTATGTGAGTACATTGAGGTTGTGCACTAATGCTGTCACCACAGCTCGTATCAATTCCCTCATGGGGCACCGAACCTTAGTTCAGTATTCGTCCCGAAGGACCAGTCCATAGATCCCGAAGAATCTAGGTAAACAGTCCATATGTCCCGAAGAACATAGGTAAATAGTCCATATATCCCGAAGAACATAGGTAAACAGTCCATATGTCCCGAAGAACATAGGTAAACCCTCGACCCTTGGCATGCCAACTATACCACTAGCTCTCTTATCACATAACATGGGCATTAACATTCATAACAGTTCAATTTACTTATTCATATCCTTTCTCTTATGAACATATATCTTTTCTTTTCAGTCACGTACCAAATGTACGTGTAATCATTGATCTTATAATCACATGTTCATTCTCTTCGGTCACATACCATATGTATGTGTAAACATATATCTAATATCATATAACACGCATCACAAATGCATGTATTCACATAAATAATTTCTTATAGCTTTATTCATATCACATATTCATATAAACTCATATCTTATTTCACATATACTTTCCATATAACTTATATATATCATAATCACACAAATCATAACATTGCTCACCAATCAATTAACATTTGAGGAGTTACTTCTAACCATAGTAACTCCATCACTGGCTCATCGCAAGCCAAATGTTTATTCAATAATATAAGTACAAATTAAATTTCACTCACCTTAGCTTTGCTTTGATTCGATTCTAATCCTTCAGTTGATTCGGAACGGGATCACGTTCTATATCTACATAATCATACATATATCTATATCAGTATCATAACTAATATACTCTAATGGTTCACTCTTTAGACCAAGAGAAAAGTCAATTTCATCTTTTAATGAAGGTATGCATTGATGCACTACTGATGCATCGGTGCATAAAATGTATTCGATGTTGTATTATTACTGGGATGCATCGATGCATGCCTTATGCATCGATGCACTAATTGTATTCGATGTATTTATTTTAAAAGAGTGCATCGATGCACTACTAATGCATCGATACACCTTCAAACAAATTTCTGGGTTTTAACCTTGATGCATCGATGCACAATGAATATGCATCGATGCACTCTGCCCAGAATCCTCTTTTTGAACCCGAAAATCATTCATTTTGGATTAAATCCTTCATGTTTAATCCCCTCTTTCACTCTTAACTCTAGTACACATCCTTAAACCAATCTATATTCATTTATTTCATCTTAAACCTCAAAATCCAATCTTCCATATGTAATTTAATAATTACATCAATTTTGCAACATGTTTCAAATCTAATTCTATTACTTCATATCTCTTACTTAGATTGATAACAAGTCAAATCCAACTTTCAATTCTTGTTATGAACTCTATTCCAATATTTAATTCAAGAACCTCTAATCTTTAATCTTCTCTATCTCCTTTATCTTTTGATCTTAAGATAACTTAAGCTTTCCTTAAGCTTAGTTATCATCTAATGATCAAAACCCAATCTTAAACTTAACAAATAATTAAGTAGAAGACTCACCTTTGAGCTTGGAGATACGGGAGGAGATGAAGAAGAAGAAGAAAATAGAGTTTCTGGAGAAATCTCTCAATCTTATCCCATATATATCATTATCTTATCCTTTCCAAGTCAAATGACCACTTTGCCCTTAAAATCCTTTAATAATTACTAACAACTTTTAGGATTTATTTTCAGATAAATCATTGAACTAATACATTCTTCTACTTTAATCACCAAATTTTTGAAACTTTACCATTTAGTCACTAACCCATAGTTTGGGATGTTACAGAAATAGAAGAAGAAATCAGTAAGTTCATTTCCCTATTGCTATTAGAGAAGGGGTTAGACAATGCACCAAGCATCCTATTGAAAAATTTACTGGTTATAATTCATTGATGCCATCTTTTCAAGCATTTACAGCAAACTTGGATAAAGAACAGGTTCCCACAAGCATAGCTAAAGCTCTAAAGGATTCAAAATGGAGAAGGGTTGTTGAAGAGGAAATTTGTGCACTGGAGAAAAATGCTACTTGGACTGTTACGGACCTTCCTCAAGGAAAAAAGGTTGTTGGCTGTAAATGGATCTTTACTGTAAAGTATAACTCAAATGGTAGCATCCAACGATATAAAGCGAGACTAGTGGCCAGAGGCTTTACACAAACATATGGGATAGATTTCACAGAAACTTTTGCACCTGTGGCGAAGCTGAATACTGTTCGAGTACTCCTAAGTTTGGTTGTAAATTGCGATTGGAAATTATACCAACTTGATGTAAAAAACGCTTTTCTTAATGGCAAGCTAGAAGAAGAAGTCTATATGAAGTTGCCACCTGGCTTAAAGTCTGTTGAAGAAAGTAATAAGGTGTGCAAGCTCAACAAGTCTCTATACGGGTTAAAACAATCACCCAGAGCTTGGTTCGAGAGGTTCACTAAAATCATCCTAAAAAACGGCTACAAGCAATCCCTCGCCGATCACACTCTTTTCATCAAGGTAACTTCTACAAATAAGAAAGTTATCCTTATTGTGTACGTGGACAACATAATTCTTACCGGAGATGATGAAGAAGAGATTTGCAATTTGAAGAAGTTGTTAAATAAGGAATTCGAAACCAATGACTTGGGAAAGCTAAGGTATTTCCTAGGAATGGAGATGGCAAGGTCAAAAGAAGGACTTGTGATCAACCAAAGAAAATATGTACTTGATTTACTCAAAGAAACTGGTTTTCTTGGTTGTAAGCCGATTGATACACCAATGGAGGCAAGCTTGAAATTTAACAAAGAAGATGGGTCCTTGGTAGACAAAGAGAAATTTCAAAGATTAGTTGGGAAACTAATTTATTTATCCTTGACAAGGCCAGATATGGTATTTTCTGTAAATGTGATAAGTCAACATATGACTAATCCTACTGAAGAGCATATGGAAGCAGCAAATAGAATTCTCAAGTACTTGAAGAAAACTCCAAGACACGGTTTAATGTTTAAGAAGACACAAGACAGAACTATTAAGATCTTTACAGATTCTAGTTGGGCCGGAGACCTTACTGAAAGGAGATCCACTAGTGGCTACTGCACCTTTGTTTGGGGAAACCTTACAACTTGGAGAAGTAAGAAACAATATGTCGTTTCAAGAAGTAGTGCTGAAGTTGAATTTAAAGCACTAGCATTAGGAATATGCGAAGGAATTTGGCTACTTAAACTACTGAAAGAACTTGTCATTAATCAAGAGGATCACTTTGAAGTTTTGTGTGATAATCAATATGCTATTCAAATTGTCAAGAACCCAGTTCAACATGATCGAACAAAGCATGTTGAGATTGATAGGCATTTTATTACTGATCAAGTTAACAAAAAGACAACCACACTTTCATACATTCCTTCAGAAGAACAAGTTGCAGACTTTCTTACTAAAGCTTTGCCAAAGCCTGTTTTCAATAAATTCCTATTCAAGCTGGGATTATACAATGTATATTCTCCAGTTTGATGGGGAGTGTAGGAATTATAGAGATGATTTGTTACCATTCCTATAGAGATATGATTTGTTACCATTCCTATAGAGATATGATTTGTTACCATTCCTATAGAGATATGATTTTGTAAATAGATTTCTACAATCCCTTATTTTAAGGGATCATATCCTAGGATTATTATTTTTCCTTTCTTAGAGTTTCCTACTTTAGAGAGATATTTTGTATATAAATATGTAATATGTCATATTGAAAAGAATAAGAAATTACAGAGAATTACTCTGATTTCTACAAGAATACCTGAAAACAACTTGTTTTAAGTTAAAATCCTACTTTTCTCAGTCCATCAAGACAATTTAAAGCCTACACAAAAAATTGCAAATGAATAATAGAGATGAAATTTAGATGCCCACCTTTATAATTTGCGATATCAACCCTAGTACAAGATGAGGCTGCAATAAAAAAAATATAGATGAAAACCATCGAATGTCGGAATGTTTCATGCTAACTCATTTAATAATCTTTTTAGCTGCACTAATCCTTCCTTCAACCAAGTCTTGAGTGCCAATATTTACAACAGTGCAGCCAATAGCCTTTGCAGAGTTAAGGCAAAGGGTATGGTTCTCATTCCTCTCCCACGGGTTAAGTACCCTTTTTGTGTTGATAGCTCTTTCATCTATTGTTCCAGGCACAGCAACATTTATAAGCTTACTGCAGAAATATAAGAGAAAGGAATCAGAACCACTTTTTACCAGCTTTTATTGAAGAAATAAATAAGACATGCATAATCGAGCACACCCCAAAAATGTACCATAAGAGTACTCCATCTTTTGCGATATTGAAAATATCATTTGTAGCTGGATCAAGCGGAAGAAACTGTTTTAAAAATGGATCGTCCGCAAGATAAATATTTATGTGTGTTACGTAAGTGGCTTTTTCCGATTCACTGATTGTGTGAAGAAGAGTGGTTGTGGAGACCTTTAGGAACGATGATGAATGCTTTGAACCACCCCGTTTTCCTGTAGCCTGACTTTGCATATTTAAATACACCTGCACTTTCCATGCAACCAATTGATATGTTAGCTTCCTTTTACTAATTCCAGCATCGACCAAAATTTAAAACCCATCGTTCCCACACATATGCAACTTGACAGAATGTAAACTGCCATATAAGTTCAACTGAAGCAATGGTTCCATTTTTCAACACAATACTGTGCTCTTATTAACAGTAAAATAGAAAACAAGCATAGCACATTAGCATGCACAAGCTCGTGTATTATATATTACTCACACTGAGGAATGTCTCAAAATCAATCTCGGTGCTCATGTCGGTATACAATTCACCCAATATCTGCCTAACCTCATCTTCAGTAAGCAAAGCACTAAAAGCCTTCAATTTCACCATCAAGGGTGGCAAATCTTCTACTGTAACTTTACCATTTTGGCTCTTTACTGAAACAAACTAGAAATCAAACACAAAAAGAAAGGTTAAATCTCCATCAAATTGTATTAAAAAATATAAACAACAATATTAAATGAAAATTCAATTGCTGAATCAGTAAGTTGAGGAAGGAACAAAATATCCTTACCTTGGATTTAAGGCTGCGAAGCTCGACTTGTGTGAATTGGCTCTGAAGCCACTGATCAGAGACAACAACACCCACGAAACTAGACATATCGACCGATTACTCGGGCAGTGATTCTCAAAACTACACCAACTGAATCCAGAAACACAATGACCAATGCAAAACTCAAATTAATCTACCCAAGTAGCTAAAACCTTCCTCAAGCCCAGAATCTGAATATCAGAAAATCAAATCAATGAAACAGGCATTAGATCCAGTGAATTCAAAACCACAACTCTTCATGAAGATATCCATATGGATTGCTTATAAATGACATAAATCATGAAAATCCAAACCCAGAACTCAACTTTAGATCCAATAAGCATAAATATCAACAAGAGGCCATCATGAAAACACCAAACGTATTGCTTTCTAAGTCATAACAATTAAAAAAAGCACAAAGAAAACTAAAAAAGAAACGATATGACCCAACAAAGAAAACACAAAAACGAAGAAACCCAGAATACTTACTTGTAAAAGGCAAAGATTTTCAATAAACGAATTCATTTCCCATCAAAATTTACACACACGAAGCGATAAACACTTAAAGTGTTAACATTTTTTTATTTATAGGATTGATTATAGAGGAAGATAAAAGGAAGAAAGGATCAATTTTTTCCTCTAAGAAGAGCAAAGTGAAAAGAGAGAAATGAGAATTAGCTATTACCTTAAAGACAGCATACAGAAAGACCAGGCTTTGAAACAGATTTGATCCTGTTATGAATTGGGTTTTCTGGAGAGTATTGTCAGCCGAATGCAGTCGCTTGATTGTTTGACACGTCAACAAAGTTGTGTGGACACGTGTGAATGTAGGGCGCTAGGTGGAATTTGGGATCTTTTGCAGCTACCCTTCGATAAATTTATTGTAGTTACAAAATTATTTGGAAGATATACCGCGGCAGTGTTAATATATGGTTAATAAAAAGTGTTATAAATTTTGTTATTATTTTTTAATATTTTTGGTAAAAAATTAGTTAAAATAATTTTATTTTTATTTAAAATATTAATATTTTTTAATATTTTCGGTAAATTGTCTAATAATAATAAAATCTGTAGAAAAAAATAATGTTTTAGGTAGCGTTTTATCGGATATATTAACAAAACCAATAAAACACCCAATAATAACAAAATCGATATAAATAATAATATTTTAGATAATTTTTTTACTATAAATGTTAAAAAATAATAACTAAACCAATAAAAAAATTTAATCGTATATTAAAGCTGTCGCACGTAAGACTTTCTCCAAATTATCAGTCCACAATATAAATAAAAAATAATTTTTCAAGCAAACTTTAATATATTCTTAATTTTTCATTTTTTGCAGTAAATATTTTTTATAAAATATATAATTAATCAAATAATTTCACTTTTTTCACGTTGAATATATATCTCTTTTCCTCATAAAGTAAAATATATTATAAAAAATAATAAATATTTAAATATATATTCAATATCACATTCTCTTATACAGTATATTAATAACAATCTGAATCAAACTGAACTTAATGGATCCTAATTACGCTCTTTTATATATAAATAAATAATAAAAAACTTAATCAATAAGTTAGTAGAGCACAAGACTCTTAATTTTAGGGTTGTGGGATCGAGTCCCACGGAGGGTATTTTATAATTTGGAGGTCTCCTATGGAAGCTAGTCTCAACCTGACGTTGGGGGCAGCCTACTATTATACTCCCCTTACCCCATTACATATGGGAATAAGAGTCGACTAATTTTTACATGAAATAATAGTTGAAGAAAAAGTAAAAAATTAAATCTATTATAGGCTGTGGACCAAAAGGACTTTGATGACGAAGCAGCCACCAGACTATATGGCCCGAATTCTTTATTGCATGACATTGATATTGTCAAAAGATTATATTATTTTAAAAATATATATAAATATAATGGTCAAAATATGAAATGACCATCAAGCTCAGTTAGTAGAGCACAAGGTTCTTAATCTTGAGATCGTGGGATCGAGTCATATGAAGGATATTTCATAACTTAGAGGTCTCCTACGGAAGCTGCTTTCAACCTAGTGTTAGGGGCAACCTACTATCTTACCTCTCCTTACCCCATTATATATGGAAACAAGGGACAACTATAATGGTCAAAATATGTTTGTAACATTTAAAAATTAATCTCTCCATTTCTATTTTTAAAATTTTAGTTAATGACTTCTAAACTAATATTTTTTATTTAAAAATATCACATCAATAAATTTAATAGGGTATCTATACGACTTCGGCAATTAAATTTATTTTTTAAACCTAAAAGCAAATGAATTTGATTTTTAAAAATAAAAGTAAGATGATTAGACTTTAAATATATAAAAATATAGAGACTTAGATCTTATTATAACCAAATATTATATTAATTTAAGATTGAAAACTATGGTTTAGTTAATTCCTGAAAAGAGAAGTTGCCGAAATCTGGGAAATGGGTGGTCCCTTTATCCCCTCCCAATCATTTATATTATTACTTATATAAAATTATTTTAGAATTTCAAAACATCTTTTTATATATTTGACCAATAATATATTTTTATGTTAACACTTTTATTAGTGACAATATAATCTTTTATAATTAAATTGTTTTTTATTAAATGAATGATATTCACTAATATTTAGAATTTTTTAACAAATTGAAGCTATGTAATGCCTTTATTTATTGTGGGCACAGTATACCATGTGATGTTACGTAGTGTTCAGACACTTATTTCGTTTGACAAGTAGCCACCGACCGAACCGACAATGTTCTTTCTGTTAATCCAAATCCTGGCAAAAGATTATTGATATTTTTATTTAAATACCCTAAAGATTATTGATCTTTTGAATCGCGTTGAAGAGAGCAACTGATGTTGTATCATTCATTCACTACTCCTCCGAAGACTAGAAGGATTTTCATATTGATGAAGAACCTATAAGGAAGTTATCGAATCTAAAAACCTCGCCCCGTGAAATAATAAGCAAAAACAATACAGAAAACTGCAAATCTACTAACCTGTAATGTACGAACTGTATCAGTTGATGAGAAAATAGTTCCCACTGCTGAAACAGAACAGCATGGAAGAAATTAATCCGGAATCTGGATATTAGTCGACAACAGAACACCATTAATAATATTCTCGTGGAGTCCAACCACCAAATCCTAGCTTGGGAAACAGCCACCAATTGCCTAGGAGAAGAGCGTCATCCATGAACTTTTAATAAACTTTAACGAAACACACCAAACAAATATGTAGGAGTGTAAACCAACGTATCATTCTATAAATTGGTAGTATAATATTGGTTTATTAAGTTAAATAAATAAGTATGAATAAAATTTTATATTCTTCTAATAAACGAACAAACACGAATGGATATATATTAAGTTTGTCTATGTTTACAAACAAACTTATTTGAAAGTTCTTTTACTCGGTTTTTCTTTTTCTTTTATATTTTAAAGGTCGGAATTAAATTAGACATAGTGTGAATTTTGGAGTGCAAATTATAAAGTCTAAATATATATAAATAAATATGTCCACAAGTATTAAACGGACATATAAACAAAAATATTTGTGAATGTTAAATAAATCGAACACAGATATTTTTAAAAACAAAAATAAATGAACACGAATATAGCATTAAAAGTTTAAATAAATATGAATCAAACATGAACACTTTTAAAAATAAATACCACAAACGAACCTTGTTCGTTCAAAACCGTCCATTTACATCACCATGAAATATGCAAAAAGATAAAGTAAAGCACAGCCTATATGGAATCAAAATCACCGACTGTAACTTAACAATCGCGGAAGAGATTAAAACAGCGATCACTCTGAACAGCACCATGGTTATAAAGTTAAATTCTAAAAGAACTGCTTCTTCTTCACCTGAAATCTGCAAGCAGGGCAGCAAACAATGAAGTTCAGCCGGTTTCGAAATCCAAGTTAATTCAACAGACATTCGAAGCCGATTTTACCCTGCATTGAATATAATAGGGGGAAGGATATAAATGAAGAACAATTCTTCATCGAATCTTAGGATGGGAGAGCATTTTCCTTTGCTCAATAATAAGATGTCATTTAGACCAAAACACAGGCAGAGAAATGACAGAGAAGGAAGTTTACAATTATGATTGCAGTGATTGATTCCTTGACCTATCGGTTCTCTTCAAGCAAATGTCCAATGATTAAACACAGGCAGAGAATTGCCACAAACAATGAAACGGGCACCACCTTCTCATGCTGATCGAATCCATTGACTCGTTCAAAATCACAAAATGATAAACACAACTTGCCAAATCTTTCAATTTCACCAACAATTTCATCCACTTTGTGTGTACCAGCTTACGAATCTCAAGTCATTTCATTTTCACGTGTCGTGGGATCCTACGTAACAACGTGATCATTTTGCGCGTTCCGATGCTAGTGGCAACCAATGACTCGTTCAACCATCAACAACCTGCTCTTGCTGATCGAATCCATTGACTCGTTCAAAATCACAAAGTGGTAAACACAACTTACCAAATCTTTCAATTTCACCATCAACAATTGCATCCACTTTGTGTATACCAGCTTACGAATCTCAAATCATTTCATTTTCACGTGTGGTGGGATCCTACGTAGCAACGTGATCATTTTGCGCCTTCCGATGCTAGTGGCAACCATTGAGATATTCCCACGTGGGAACATGCCATGTTGGCAACACTCCATTTGTGGACCCCATTATCTAGCTGTCATCCGGATAGAAAAAACTCGGTTCCCCCCAAGGCCCCCCCGCTTTCAGACTCAGATGCTGGCTCAGTGGCTCGAATTGGAGAGGGGTCGAGCCGATGGGTCCGGTTTAATTCATTCACTGGGTGGGAGGGGGGTCTGGTCTGCTCATTGGTCCCGGCCTGATCATGACATTTTTACAATAATTGTTATTGGTTTATGATTTTCATGAAATTTCAGGCCATCATGATTGACAGTTGAGAAAAACATTTACTGACAAGTCTGATTCAAGTTTTTCTTTATGTCATAATTGCTATGTATAATTTCATTGTTTTATAGGTATATTATGCAGTTAGTCACTTGACTCTTTTTGTGTTTCTTCTTTAGTCACTTAATTTAAAAAATATATATTTTACCGTCCAACTTTTGAATTTTAACTTTTTGGTCAACCAATCGTTAAGTGTCTGACATCATTTATTTTTTTCTGGTAAATTTATGAAAAAAACACCTTGAAAACTTTCCTAGCTAACTCAATTTTCGGACTCTCCATTTGATTTATTGGTGTTAGAATATTTTTTCCCAATTTGAATGATATAGAAATCGATAAAGTTAAGTGATGTCACCATAAGATAATGTCATATCATTATTGAAAAAATAAAAAAAATTCACATCAACAATATTATGTATGATTTTCAAAAAAAAAAAGAGTGACCAAAAGAGATATGCAAAAATAGGTGTTGACTAATTACATAGTTTACCCTTGATTAAAATCATAATTTAACAATTAAAATAAATGTTTTTAACTACGTATAAACTATACAATTATTTTATAACAAATGGAATTTAAAATATATAATTAATAATCTTTACCAAGATGAGTAATTAATTACTAGTAGTATTTGACATATATTTTTAATAAATTGAAACGATTATAATATAATATTTGTTCAAAACTTTCTTAATCAATTGATAATTTACACACATCTTACAGACGTAACTGTTCGAGCCCAAAACCTCTGGGAAGAATTACATTCCTTTGTACCACTTAGCCAACTAGATGAGTTCTATTTAATATATACTTAGTAAAAAAACCAGTTAGAAAGACCTATTTTAGAACAAAGTTCAAATAAATGGACTAAAGTAACCATATACCATTTAAAGAAAGCAATAAATATCGTGAAAGCTGCATATATCACTGTTAAATTTATCTTCTCCAGGGATATTTTTTTTAATTTATATTGATTTAAATTATATAAAATACTGATGAATAAAATTATTATATTTATTATAAAAATATTATAACTTCTAACATTTAACCTTAACCATTAAATTACATTTATCTAATAATTTCATAGAACTCATGAGAACTTTACAAAACTTTTAGCCAGATCTCTCTCCACACACACGCACATATATATAAGAAGGTTCTCAACTACTATTTTTTATTACTTCCAACTACCATCAACCGGAAAGGAAAATCACATGCAATTTTAAATTTATTATTATTGTAATAATCTTTTTCAGTAAAGGTTTAATTATGAATTGCATCATTCTACTTTAGCTTACAATGAAACCTTAGTCCATCTACTTTAGTTTGCTGTAATTTAGTTCTTAAACTTTATGAAATTAGGAAAACCAGTTTTGTTATTGGTAAACACAAACTTGAACAGTTGATTTTTTTAATTCTTTGTTTATAAATTTTAAAATTGTCAAGTTTTATTAACTTTTTGCATATAAATTATTAAATTGTAACTTTAAGTTCAAAACTAGGAGTGTGCAAATTTCGACTCGACTTGAAAAATTGATATTTTTGACTCGTCTCGAGTTGATTTCGAATTGTAATTTCATAAATAAGATTCAAAAAAATTTAAGTTAAGTAGAGTTATAAAACACAACTTCAATAACTCGAATTTTTTTTACAAATAGTGGATTAGTTTTTAAGTTTGACTAGAGTCTTTTGATTATATAAGATATATGTATATCATATACGAAAAAAATATGAAGAAATATATATGTATTGCATATAATTATAAAAACATATTTTAATTGTGATAAAATAATATCATAATATTATAAGTATTTACAAATAAATTTAAATAGAAACTCAAAAACTCGACTCGAAAAAATTTCAAATTAAGTTTTAGTTATAAAATAAGACTCATCAATTCAAATAACTCGAAATTTTTTAACTTGATTCTACTTGAGCGTTGACCCTTATTCAAAAGTACTCTACAAACAAATTTTTTTATCTTTATACTAAAAAATATTTTTAAACATATTTTTTCTAAAATTAATTATTTAATATAATTTCAAAATATTTTTATTTTAAAATATTTTTTCAAACCCAATATTAAAGGAACCTTAAGCATTATCCCACAGCTTCAGGGGAAAAAAGGCTGCATAAAGCCAATAAATTTCCTTAGACCGGTTTCGGTTCGGGAGACACTCGTTTAATTAACTATAAATCATCATTAAATAATTTACTTATTTAAAAGTGAAAGAAGTATAAATATTGAAACCAACAAAAAGCCAGCCTAAAAGTTCAGTATTTTTCTCTCTTAAATAATTCAATTTTTCTCCATCTAAATTTTGTACGGTTAACGACGGGAGGGAGTGACCGGCGGCGGAGATCAGTGGCGGAGCTGAGCTTTCAGTGGAGAAGATATTTTCTGGCAATGGGAAGCTTACGTGACATTTCGGTTGCCATTTTTGTAGTTCAAGCTCTGTTAGCTACAGTAGTTTTGGTTTCAGCTCAAGGATCTACTACTGCTCGTCCTCGTTGGCAGACTTTAAGCGGTGCGTCTCTCTTTAGAGTTCTTTTTTTTTTCTAAATCAGTTAAATGGAGTGGTTTTTTTAGCTAGATTTTTTGTTTTATTGCTGATAAAGACATGAAATGTTGGGAAAGCAGCTTGTTGAGCCGGATGCATTTTCGATTTTTCTTTTGTTTCGCGTAATTGTTAGTTATTTTTTGTTTGATTTACTCGAAAGGGAAGTAAATGATGGGAGAATTGCCCATGCTAAGCTTAGTTTGAGCTGCTCGAGCCTTTTTTTAGATTTAGTAGGAACCAAAACGATGAAGATGTAGAAGTATGCATAGAATGACACGTTATCCCATTAAATGATTATTTCAAGTACCTAGGGTCTATGATACATAGGTGTGGATGACGACGTTACACACCGTATTAAGGTATGGAGGGCTGCTATTGGAGTTTTGTATGACAAGAAGGTGCCTCTAAAACTTAAGGAAAAATTTTATAGAATGGCAATAAGACCAGCGCTACTGTATGGATCAGAATGTTGAGCATTCAAGAAGGATCACGTAAGGAGGATGGATGTCGTAGAAATGAGAATACTTCGATGGGCATGTGGTAGGACTCTGTGGGACATGACACCAAACTCTGCTATTAGGATGTTCTTGGGGTGGTGCATGTATCCGAAAAATTGAGGGAGGGAAGACTACGGTGGTTTGGACATGTTCTTAGGCGACAACCGTCGGATGCGGTCAGGAGGGTAGAGTCGATTACAGTCGACGGTGCCAGAAGGAGAGGACGACCAAGGCAGAAGTGGGAAGACTGCTTGAGATCTGATTTGAAGGATTTAGCCCTTACCGAAGACATGACCTCTGATAGGAAATTATGGAGACTTAAGACCAGGGTAGCCGAGTAGTGCGGGTCACATCCGTAGGGTGTATCATCTCTGTCTTCTTTTAATATCTTTGTAATAATTTACATGACTTTTACTTTTTATACGTTTCTGTCAATGGAAATTATGGAGGCTTAGAACTAGGGTAGCGGAGTAGTGTTGCCTTTGTTTAGGTTTTAACCCATTTTATTTATTCATTTTCGTAGCTTGCTATCGTTGACTTCTGTGTATCATTCTCTTCATGTTTCTTCTTTTTAAATTTTGTCGGGTCTTACGTTTCTGTCTATTGCAGAGATTTTTATACAGGGATTTATTTGCAGGGATTACTTCCCATTTATAGACGTGCATATTGAAGACTGCATTATTAACACTGTTCAACTATGTATTTATTTATTTAACTATACATGCATTGCATTTTATCTTTATTTTTAATTTCTGACTGTCGGAGGTTTTCCTCAGAAGCTGCTTTCAACCTTGCGTTGGGGCAGCCTACTACCCTATCTCCCCCTTACCCCAGTGTATATGGGAATAGGTTTTTGTTGTTGTTGTTGTAAGAGAGTGGAGTGAATAAAGAGAAATTTTCATTTTTCTAAATAAAAAAAAAGGCGCTTGTCAAGTGAGAGAAAATTCATACTTTAATGATTTCCAACTTCCAAGCTTCTCAAAATGTAAACATTTTACTTTTTTTCTTATAAAAACAAAAAACAAAACAAAAGTCACTCTCTCTTTTTTGATATTTGATAATTTGAAATTTAGTTATTTTTAATTTGGTTTCATAGGAAGTGCATGAATTAGAAGGAAAAAAAGATATAAATTTTCACTATCAAATTCAATTGCAAGTAACTTTTTTTAGTCAATTTAACGTTCATTATTTCAGGTCTCCTTGAAATGTAGGCCTTTTTTTTAGTATTTCATTTATTTGCTAGTACATATTTTCATTTTCTGTTCACTGGAAAATTGAACAAATTGATAAGAAATGCGGCTACAAGTCTTTCCTGATTTATTTCTGTGAATACTTTTGCTTTCTACTTTGACTCTTCTTTCTTATATTAGAATTAGTCTTCTTCTTCGTTGGAAGTTTGGCATTTTTCTCTCTACCTAAGAGCTTGAGCTTCCTCCTCCATCTTCTACGGAGAAAACTATCTTCAGGAGCAGTTTAAGCTACAACATGACTACATTTAAATCTATAGATACATAAAAGCATTTAACATTAGCATCCATAGCAGAAAAAAAGTTTTGTAAAGTTCATCTCACTTTTTAATTTTTCAATTGTTTAATAATCTTATATTGTTTTGTGTGCTTTTTTCAGGGGATGCGCCCTTTGTCGTAGCACGTGGTGGATTTTCTGGAATATTTGCAGACTCCAGTTTTGGAGCTTATAGTTTGGCTTTGATGACGGGTCCTTCTGATGTGATCTTATGGTGTGATGTGCAGTTAACAAAAGATGGAGCTGGAATTTGCTTTCCTGATCTTAAGCTAGATAATAATTCTAACATTGCTTCTGTTTTCAATGATAAACCAAAGACTTACCTTGTTAATGGGGTCTCTACCAAGGGATTATTTTCTATTGATTACACTCTCAAGGATCTTGGAAATGTCATTTGTAAGTTCAGCTCACAGTTTGTCTCCCTTTTTTTGGGTCACCATCAATGCTCACAACCTTTCATTCATTACTGTTGCCGTTGTTGTTGCATTCTCTTTATTACCATCATCTTCAAAAACTTTGCTTGATAGATAGTTAATGAACTTGTGAGTTTCATGCTCATCTTACTGGTGTCAAAATTAGTTTTTGGTTTTGAACCATAAAATAATAACTCATTTCCTAACCACTAAACCTAATTCAGGTAATTTTACAACCAATCGGGTACCTAATTCTGAACTTTGATATGATACTGCTAGCTTCCACGTCAACATTATTACCTATAGACGTTCAGCATCTGTTTTGATAGGTTTGCTTGGTTTGACTTGCTCTGAAATGTACCAGTAGTAAATTCTTCATTGCTTTCTGCTACTTGTTTTATGTGCTATATTCTAATGTGTTATTTGTTATCCGGACAGTCAATCAAGGTGTCTATTCTCGAACAAATAAGTTTGATGGCCAGAATTACCTAATTATGACTGTTCTGGATACCTACACTCAATTGAAACCACTTGGTTTTTGGTTGAATATTCAGGTAAGGTTTTTTCAGTTCTTAATAATACCTTCTTACTTTTTCCCTCGTCTTTTCTATCCCCTTGTTAAATTAGTGTAACTTCATCTTCCTGTTTTTGTATATATATTTGACTCTCTATTTTGTAGCATGATGCGTTCTATGCACAGCAAAACTTGAGGATGAGAAGCTTTCTACTTTCCGTAATTAGAAATGCATCTGTCACTATTGACTATATTTCGTCACCAGAGGTGGCTTTCTTGCAAAATATTGCTCCAATTTTCCGAAGAAGTGCAACAAAGTTTGTCTTCCGGTTTCTAGGACCAGAGGATGTGGAGCCTTCAACCAATCAGACCTATGATTCTCTCTCGAAAAATCTCACATTTATCAAGACGTTTGCCTCTGGAATCATTGTACCCAAGTCTTATATATGGCCTGTAGATGGAGGCCTTTACTTGCAACCTCCTACCTCTATTGTCTTGGATGCTCACAAAGAAGGGCTAGAAGTTTTTGCATCGGAATTTTATAATGATATTCCATTTAGCTTCAATTACTCATATGATCCAGTGGCAGAGTACCTTCAATTTGTTGACAATGGTATATTCTCTGTTGATGGGGTGATATCCGACTTCCCAATAACTCCATCAGCAGCTATAGGTAAGTTGTATACAGGTTTATGCATTGTGAATCCCTGGGGAAAAAAATTGACACCTTAAGCTGATTTATACTTTTAAACTTAAATCATGGTCAAATTTCATTATATTCTTGAAGATTGTTACTCGTCCCCATGACTTGCTTTGCCATTTTTCAAGTCTCTTCGAGTTCTTTGTGCAAATTAAGGAGTATATCCCACGTCACCTAATAATCTTGCACTTGTTGATACTTTTCTCCATGTTTTCCTCCTGCCATAGTTTCATCATATAATTAAGAGGTTGAAGTTAGATGTCTGCCTTTTCTCTCGTTACTCTCTTCGTCTGACATTCTTTACAGTCTACACAAAACTTAGTCTGATTATTGAAAGAAAGGTTGCCTTAATTTACCAGATGCCTGTCTTTTGCTTTCACTGAATATGAACCTCTTTTTTTTGGTTAGATGCTGACATTTGTTTCGCATTGCAGATTGTTTTGCTCACCTAGGAAAAAATGCTACAAAACAAGGTATGTAATTATAGAATGCTACTGACCAAAAGACCTTATACACACACACATACTCACTGAGGGTTGGTAGTAATGGACATATGATTATGTGTTTTAAGGTTCCTCATAAACTATTTTATTTTTTTGGCATGCTACAGTGGACCTTTTGGTCATCTCAAATAATGGAGCAAGTGGAGACTATCCTGGTTGTACTGACATGGCATATGCAAAAGCAATTCAAGATGGTGTAGATGTACTTGACTGTCCTGTTCAAATGACAAAGGATGGAACACCTATTTGCTTGGGCACTATAAATCTCATAGATAGTACTACAGTTACTCAATCAGGTTTTAGCAATCTTACAACAACTATTCCAGAGGTTATGCAGGGCAGTGGAATCTTTACCTTCAACCTGGCATGGAGTGATATTAAAACCTTGAAACGTATGTTGGGTTTATTTCTAATTTGCTTTTTTCTTACTGTACTGAATTGTTTTCTTTTTTTCTTCTTCTGTAGTGGGTGGGATGTATCTAGATTATAGAATTTTTGGTCTTTTTATAAAATAAAAGTTGTCTGACTCAATATTGATTGAAGTGTGTACATTTCATTGACTAGGTTTGTAAGATATATGGTCTTTCTGTGCTTGAAACATTTTTAGCCATCTTGTGAATAATACCCAGCTTTGGGATGTAATGTGTCCTTGCATACAGTAATTATGTCAGTTTTATTTAAATTGCCCTATCATCTAAATCTGTGTTTCAGTTGCAGAGTTTCAGTTGGTTTGTTGTTTCTTTGATAGATATAATTGGCATTAGCTTGTTGTCAGCCTATTTTAATCTATCATTACTTCACCTGCAGCTGTGATATCAAGCCCACAATCACAGTACAAATTGTTTCGGAATCCGAAGTTCAGAAATGCTGGGAACTTCTTAACGTTATCTGACTTTTTAAGCATGGCAAAAAATGTTAGCTCTCTTCATGGTATCTTAATTGGCATAGAGGTCAGTTCTTGCCATTCTATATTTTCCTCAGTTTATTGCCTTCTGATGGTGTTAATAGATTAGGCACAGTGACTCAACTCATGAATAATGGCTATTGTTTTCTGTTGTGCCATATTGGAACTGTTAGCATGATATCTTAATTATAGTGAGAAACATATCAGACTGAATCATATTCTTATATGGCAGCTGTGGGTTATGCCGTGTGGAATATACTGAGCTGAATGATCAAAGAAATTCTAAAACCTTTAATGTTCATCTTAATTGAATATCACTCGAGATTTGAAAACCATTCTCTTGTTTTTCAAAGCGCTAAAGTACATTACTCCTATCTCATAATTAAGTTACTTTGTAAAATAATGTTGACAGAAACAAGAAGGCTATCTTCCAATGGCATAGATACTGAGCAGAGTAATCTTCATGACGTTTTCCCTTATATGTGTTGCAACTTGCAATTGTCTAAGTACATTCTTCGAAATTCTGTAACTAAATCTCCTATTGTCTTTTCTCTTCCTGATGATTGAAAATTTTCCGTCTCCTGAAACCCCTAGCTGCTTAAAATCTTTGTTAATGTTCATTGTCCCTGCTAGCTATGAATTCTGTATATTTGTATTTCAATTGGTTTCCTCTTTAACAACATGTTCTTCTGAAGATTTCCGACAGTTCCGACTTGTTTCTTCCTTTCAGAATGCTCCTTACCTTGCAAAGCAGGGATTTGGTGTAACTGATGCAGTGCTTGATGCCTTGAGCAAAGCTGGCTATGATAAGCAAACAGCTCAAAAAGTTATGATACAGTCCAGTAATAGCTGTGTTTTAATGAAGTTCAAGGGTAAAGCCAATTATCAGCTTGTCTACAAGGTTGATGAAGATATTGGCGGTGCTCAAAGTTCAACCATTGATGACATTAAGAGATTTGCCAGCGCAGTTGTCATTAGCAAGGACTCTGTGTTTCCCGAGAATTCGGCATTCCTTGCCGGTACTACAGATGTTGTACAAAGGCTACAAGCTGCTAATCTCTCTGTATTAGTTCAAACCTTCAGTAATGAGTTTACATCTCAAGCATGGGACTTCTTCTCTGATGCAACTGTTGAGATCAATACCTTCTACAGGGGAGCCGGTATAAATGGTGTCATTACAGATTTCCCAAAGACGTCTGATAGATACCGGAGTACGTGCTTACCGATTGAGTTTTGCAGATGTTAGATTGTGAAAATATAAAATCCTTTTGGCATTGGACTGCCAGATTGACGTCATAATCTTTTTGTAGAGAACCGATGCTTGAGGCGAGGCAACAAAACACCCAATTACATGAATCCTGTGGAACCTGGCGGCCTTTTACAATTAGTCACATCTGCTTACTTGCCACCAGCTGAAGCTCCAAACCCCTACCTGACTGAGGCAGATGTTGTTGAGGCTCCTTTGCCTCCTGTTGTTGCAAAAACCCCAACTTCGACTCCATCTGGTACTGCATCATCCCCAAGATCATCACCAAACGGACAGCCTAAACTCGCTGCGACTGTCATTGTACCACTTATGGCTGTGCTTCTCGCCATATATTTACTGTTTTGAAAATCTTATAAGAGTCAGTCCTGCTCTTAACCATTTTTACCCCCCTTTTCTTATAAATCTTATTGCTTGGATATGGAGTAGCTAGAAGGTTTTGGTGCAGGAATGCACTGCCGGCGGCAAAGACCGGCCTTTCTTAGTTGTCTCCGCTCCAAACAGCAGTGTTAATTCTTCCCCTTATAATTTTGTATGTATGTATGTTCATTCTTCTTGTCTAGTTTTTAGAAGCAAAGAATTCTTGATAGCTACATATGTTTAATGTACGCATTCCCTATATGATTTGTGTAGGATTTGTTTGTCATTGTTCATTTGCGTGAATTATTTATAGATTTATCAGCCTTACCCTTTAACCTCTACTGCTTCCACATTAGTCCCTCCAATCTGGTTTTATCTTTGCTTTTCTTATTTACCTTTAATCATTATTAACAACACGTACACTCTGAAGATATAACTGTTTAAATCCAAGTCCAAATCTTTTAGAAAAAATAATATTCTCTTCATTATTGAGATCACTCAATAAATTCTTATTTATGTATAATTATTAGTAAATGTAATATATATATAAAACAAATATAACGTTATTTATGATATTAGTATATATGTTTTGCATATGCACTAAAAATATAAACATGATATTAGATTATTATAAAGAATAAAATTGTAATTTCAATGCTCGGGGTAAGAGAGATCGAAGTAAACATTTACTATAATTATCTTGTTTTATAATGTGGATGACAATTTTAATTTTTTAAATAAATATTAGAAAATTTAAAAAATATTAATTCAATTTATCCAGTTCGATTAAGAATAAATTCAGTGACGTTATTTTATTTTTAACAGTAAAACATGTGCAATTTAATTTTGGTTTGATTTTGAAATGAAAACAAAAGGTTTACTTTCGAATTAGTTCCAATTTGGAAAAGGGCGTAATAATCACAAAAAGAATAAGGGCCTATTGAGTATAGTTGGGTCCAAATTATTGTTGATTAAAGCTGTTAAATAGCTCTTATTGTATTAAAATTAAAATGTAAATTTAAACTAATACTCTATAAGAAGTAGGCAGGCTTAGGGCAAAAAATAGTTAATAAGGCATTTTCTCTCTGAGTTCCTTTATTTGTAGTTACAATTTTAATATTTAAATTTTTATTAATTTTTTAATATATAAATATATATATTATATTTTAAATTTATTATTATATCAAATTAATTTCATATTTATGAGTGCATAAATATAATCAAAAGACATAAGTTGAAGAATAAAATAACTCAGTTTTTGAATTTCCATTATTTTTATTTTACATTCGAACTTTGGTAAGTAACAGAAGAAACTACCCAAACCTGTCAGACAAAAGACATGCTGTAATAAACTCAAACCAGTCTTGTCATGAAGAAAACCAAGTCATAAAAAACATGAGCAAGAAACAGTGGACTCTTCTCAAGATCCTCTTAGCTCTCTTCGCTCTAAACTCCATCTCTCTTTACTTTTATTTCGCCTCTAGCCACCACAACCACCACCGGTCCCTGTATGACCACCGCCGCGACACGAAGGCCGAGGGTTTCCACGGAATAATCCCACTCCGTGGACTTCACTTGTCAAAGCCCTGGCCTATCATCCCATCGTATCTTCCCTGGTCCTTGACCTCAAACGTAGCTCCGAAGTCATGCGAAGCTTATTTCGGGAATGGGTTTACAAAGGTAGCCGATGTTCTGTCCCCAAAGGCCACCGTGAGATCCGGATCGAGCTGGTTCAGGTGCCATTACTCCGAGACCTTGAAGAGCTCGGTTTGTGAAGGTGGGAAGATAAGGATGGATCCCGAGAAGATTAAGATGTCGCGAGGAGGTGAAAAGCTGGAGGATGTTATTGGGAGAACGGAAGAAGAAGAATTGCCTGAGTTTGAAGATGGAGCTTTTGAGGTTGAAGTTGAAGGAGTGGGATCAAGGTTAACCAGAAAGAAGCTTGTTGGGGATGGATTTTTGGACCAGTTCTTGCCTGTTGGGAATATCTTGAAACATACTATGAGGGAATTGGTGAGGTCTGTTGTTTTTGTGGGTGAAAGTGATTTCACTTGCCAAGAGGTTAGATTAGATTCCTCAATTCTCCTTTTTTCCCCCAAGCTTTCGATTTCGATTGATCGATCTTGATGCTTGATGAAAATTGCTATTTCTGGCTGTTAATGGAAGTTTTGGAAGTAGATTAATGCTTATGCGGATATGGGTTATAATTTAATGCATGTCTGTATGCCAAAACATATGTTTAGGCTATTCTGTTTGTGTCTAGTCCAGGGGGAAACTAACTTGTTTTAGCTTGATTTATTAGTTTTATTGGTCTAGTGTCTGAGGATTTTAAGATAGGCAGTACCTGAAGCAGCATTTTAATGCCGGCAGAGGTCGGTCAGTCATACGGATTACAGATTCTTATGAAATGAATTTTGCAGCTTTGGTTTGAAATCAGTTGGTTAGAAAGTGGAATATTGATCTAATTTGGAATAGTTTGATTTCTCCGACTAGTTGATCTGTTCGTTTTCTTCCCTTCCGGTTCAAATAGTTTGTGACTGTGTATTCTGAATTAGTGCCATTTTGATGGAATGTGAACTTAACTAGTTTTGTTCATCATTCGTTTCCTAATTCGGTTCGATTTGATGATTGTTCTGTCCTTTTTTTATTATTATTTTACTTTGGATTCTGATATGGGAAGATTTGATTACAGTGGGTAGAGGAGCCTACACTTCTGATAACAAGATTCGAGTATGCAAACCTTTTCCACACCGTGACGGATTGGTACAGTGCGTATGTTTCTTCTAGGGTTACTGGCTTGCCGAACCGGCCACATTTGGTCTTTGTGGATGGTCATTGTGAGGTATACAAGTTCAGTATTCCACAATCCAGTTTCTATTAATGTCACCTTTCTTCACTTTAGATTATCATTCTTTCATTACCATGTGATCTATTCATGTGGGACTGTCGTCCCTTTTGGTCCGAACGGAATGAAGGGAGAGTGTTTGTAGATAGCATAGGGAGGAATGCTCGGTTATTGAATAATGAACCACAAATCAGCTACGAGGAATCGTCTGTTTGCTATGGTTGAAGAATTCTATTGCATAATAGTTGTTGCCCTGCTTTGATACTCTTTTTAGAGATCTTCCTTTCAAGTAGGTGTAACGTGTCATCAGCTACCCTCGTCTTCGCTTTGCCTGCAACTAGATGTTGCTCTTGCGGATAATTCGAACACATGTTGCATAACTGTTTGTCTATTAAAGGCTCATTATCATACAATAGCTGATTTGTTTTTCCCCTTCTTGGCTGAATATTTCCAGACACAATTAGAAGAAACATGGAAAGCATTGTTTTCAAGCCTTAGATACGCGAAAAACTTTAGTGGTCCGGTCTGTTTCCACCATGCTATTTTATCACCGTTGGGATACGAGACCGCGTTATTTAAAGGGCTTAGCGAAGACATAGATTGTCAAGGAGCTTCTGCACATGAACTATGGCAAAGCTCTGATGACAAAAAACTGCCCGATTATCCGAGTTTGGAGAAATGATCAGAGATGCTTTTGGATTTCCTGTAAACAGACAGCATTCCGATAAGGCAGTCCCAGGTGATTATAACGTCCTCTTTGTCCGTCGAGAAGATTATTTAGCCCATCCACGCCATCGAGGTAAAGTCGAGTCAAGACTTAGCAATGAACAAGAAGTGTTCGATGCATTACAGAGGTGGGCATCTAATCGTCAGGAATGTAAAGTATACCTCATCAATGGGTTGTTTGCGTACATGTCCATGAAGGAACAGGTCCGAGCTATTCAGGATGCTTCGGTTATCGTCGGTGCTCATGGTGCTGGCCTAACACACATAGTTTCCGCAACACCAAACGCTGTGATTCTCGAAATCATTAGCAGCTTTTTTAGGCGGCCTCATTTTCAATTGATCGCACAATGGAAAGGATTGGAATATCAGGCCATTAACCTTGACGGATCGTATGTGAATCCAGGAGTTGTTATTGTTATGTATGGCTCATAAAAAGTCTCGTTGTGGGGTTACGAATTATGTGGGTTGGGGGTGTGGGGGCGCAGCCCCCGCGGTACGGTACAGGGTTGATTTTGTAATTATGTACCAGGGTTTTCTATTATAAATAGAGATGTAACCTAGACCTAAAAAGATCATTGAATAAAACTTCTAGCGCCGCCTAGGCACCGAGGACGTAAGCACATTGCCGAACCTCGTAAAATTCTCGTGTTCTTTCGTTTTCTTTACCCGTTTTCGTCAACAATTGGTATCAGATGTCAGGAGCAAAATTCGAAGTCGCGAAATTCGATGGTCAGGGTAACTTCGGATTATGGCAAACGAGGGTGAAGGATCTATTGGCGCAGCAATGGATCTTGAAGGCTTTGCGACCTACAAAGCCGGCGTCGATGGATGAGGAAGATTGGGAAGAATTGCAGCAGCGAGCGGCAGGAACCATACGATTATGCTTGGCGGACGAGGTCATGTATCACGTCATGCATCTATCGTCTCCAGACGAAATTTGGAGGAAGTTGGAAAGTCAGTTTATGTCCAAATCCTTAACGACAAAACTGTATCTGAAGCAGCGACTGTATGGGCTGAAGATGCAGGACGATCACGATTTGGCGCAACACGTGAATGTCTTCAATCAAATCGTTTCTGATCTGGCTCGGCTTGATGTGAAAATTGAAGATGAAGACAGAGCGATGATTCTGTTGTGTTCGTTGCCTTCCTCTTACGAACACATGGTGACTACTCTTACATATGGGAAAGAGACTATCAACGTTGAGGAGATTACTGCAGCCTTGTTGGCTCACAACCAGCGGAAGCAGAATGCAGGGGAAAGCTCTCAAGCCGATAGCTTATATGTCAAGGGTAATCGAGATCGTGGACGGAAGCCAGAGAAGGCAGGGTCCGGGAAGCGGAATTCCAGATCCAAATCCAGGGATAAGAAGACGATTCATTGTTACAAGTGCAAGGAGGCGGGACATATGAAGCGAGACTGTCCGAAGTTGAAAAAGCAGACCGATGAGAAGCGTGATGGCTCATCCAAGTCTGTGAACGTGGTCGAGGATGATACTTCTGATTGCAGTGAGGGTGATATGCTTTCTATTTCAACGACACAATTGACGGATGCTTGGATTCTTGATTCTGGATGTTCTTATCACATCACGCCAAATAGGGAATGGTTTTCGACATACAGGCCGGTTAATTCTGGTTCGGTTTATTTGGGTGATGATCGATGTTGCAATATTGTTGGTATTGGTGATGTCAGATTTAAGATGCACGATGGCTCCGTTCGGACGTTGAGTGGTGTTCGACATATCCCAGACTTGAAGAAGAATTTGATTTCCTTGGGCACTTTGCACAAGAATGGTTTTATCCCTAAGGCTGCCGAGGATAGGGAAACCATTCGGATTGTTAAAGGAGCATTGACTGTGATGAAAGGCAAGATGACTGCAGGGAATATCTACAGATTGTTAGGGAGTTCCGTTGCAGGTGGAGTTCACTCTGTTGAGTCATGTGATGATACGACAAAATTGTGGCATATGCGCCTTGCTCATCTTAGTGAACGTGGTATGGCAGAATTACACAAGAGAAACTTGTTGCATGGTGTCAAAAGCTGTAAGCTCGATTTTTGCAAGTATTGTGTTCTTGGTAAACAGACTAAAGTCCGTTTCAAGACTGCGAAGCACACAACTCAAGGGATTCTTGATTATGTGATTTCTGATGTATGGGGGCCTTCCACGACATCGTCTTTGGGTGGATCTAGGTACTATGTTACTTTTATTGATGATTTTTCACGGAAAGTTTGGGTGTATTTTTTGAAACAGAAATCTGAAGTTTTTGAGAAGTTCAAGTTGTGGAAAGCTGAGGTAGAAAACCAAACAGGACGAAAAATCAAGTGTTTGCGGTCTGATAATGGTACGGAGTACACAGATTCACAGTTCCTACAATTCTGTAAGGAGCATGGGATTCAGAGGCATTTTACAGTGCGCAAGACACCACAACAGAATGGTGTTGCGGAACGAATGAACAGGTCGTTGAATGAAAGAGCCAGATGTTTGCGGTTGAATGCGGGGCTTCCCAAACACTTCTGGGCTGAGGCTGTTAACATGGCGTGTTACCTTATCAACAGATCGCCAAGGGCATCGCTGGCTGGGAAAGTTGCAGAAGAGGTATGGACTGGTCATGATGTTAGTTTTGATAACTTACGGATTTTTGGTTGTCCTGCTTATGTGCATGTACCTGCTGATGAGAGATCCAAACTTGATGCAAAATCGAAGGAGTGCATTTTTCTGGGTTACAAGAAAGGTGTCAAAGGATTCAAGTTCTGGGATCCAGTTGCGAAGAAAGTTGTGATTAGTAGAGATGTCGTTTTTGATGAACAGTCTATGTTGCAGCAGAAGCAAGACACGACAGTGGTAGATTTCGAGCAGTTTCCAGTTGAGAAACCAGAAACTTCTCAACCGACTTCTGATGGTTCCACTACGGATGATTTGCAGGATTATAGTCTCGCCAGAGACAGGGTGAGACGGACGAATATAAAGCATCCGAACAGATTGGGTTTTGAAGACTTAGTATCTTTTGCACTTACTGTTAGCAGTGATGATCCAGTTACTTTTCATGATGTCGTTACTAGTCAGGAAAACGACAAGTGGATGGCAGCCATGGTTGAGGAGATGGAGTCTTTGAATCACAATCGCACATGGGAGTTAGTTCCCCTTCCTGAGGGTAAGAAGCCGATTGGTTGCAAATGGGTGTATAAGAAGAAACCAGCAGTAACAGAAAAAGAGGGGGAGAAGTTCAAGGCTCGTTTGGTAGCGAAGGGTTTTTCACAGCAGAAAGGAGTTGATTATGATGAAATCTTTTCTCCTGTGGTCAGGCACACTTCAATCCGAGCAGTACTTGCATTTGTGGCTAGTTGGGATTTGCATTTAGAGCAGATGGATGTTAAAACTGCTTTTTTGCATGGTGATTTAGAGGGGCAGATCTACATGCGGCAACCTGAAGGTTTCACTCAACCTGGAAACGAGCATTTAGTTTGCAGATTGAAGAAATCTTTGTACGGGTTAAAACAGTCTCCGAGACAGTGGTATAAACGGTTTGACTCCTATATGATCAAGATTGGCTACAACCGATGTGAGTATGATTGTTGTGTCTATGTTAAGAGCCTTGATGATGGTTCTTTTATTTTTCTATTACTGTATGTTGATGATATGTTGATTGCTGCGAAGAACATGGATGATGTTATCGGTTTGAAAACTTTATTGAGTCAGGAATTTGATATGAAAGATTTAGGTGCTGCAAAGAAAATTCTTGGAATGGAAATTTGCAGGGACAGAGACTCAAGGAAACTGCGGCTATCTCAACGGGGTTATGTTGAGAAAATGCTAGAAAGGTTTGCGATGAGCAGCGCAAAACCAGTTAGCACTCCATTGGCGAATCACTTTAAGCTCTCATCAGAACAGTGCCCCAAGACAGATAAGGAAGCTGAAGATATGGCAAAGGTTCCGTATTCTAATGCTGTTGGCTGCTTGATGTATGCGATGGTATGTACTCGTCCTGATTTAGCTCATGCTGTTAGTCAAGTTTGTAAGTACATGTCTAAACCTGGTAAGCAACATTGGGAAGCAGTCAAGTGGATCTTTCGGTACTTAAAGGGTACTGTGGGACATAGAATTGTTTTTGGGAGTCAGCGGGATAACCCTTTGGTTGTAGGATATGTGGATTCAGATTATGCAGGTGACTTGGATAATAGAAGATCTACGACAGGGTATGTGTTTACTCTTGGTGGAGGGCCTATTTGCTGGAAGTCTACTGTTCAATCTGTCGTGGCACTATCTACAACTGAAGCTGAATACATGGCAGCGGCTGAAGCTGCAAAAGAAGCTTTATGGCTTACTGGTTTAGTGAAGGAGTTGGGTGTTCAACAAGGTGGAGTTCAGTTGCTTTGTGATAATCAAAGTGCTATTCACTTGGCTAAGAATCAGGTGTATCGTGCTAGAACTAAACATATTGATGTAAGGTTCCACAAGATCAGAGAGTTGGTTGCATCTGGAGAGGTTTTGTTTCAGAAGGTACATACTGATGAGAATGCCGCTGATATGTTCACCAAGCCAGTTACGACAGACAAGTTCAAGCATTGCTTGGACTTGTTGAATGTTTCGAGTTGTTAAAGAAGCAAGGTAACCCAACCCACATTGAAGTTTCCAAGGGGCAGGATATTCGCCAAGGTGGAGATTTGTTATGTATGGCTCATAAAAAGTCTCGTTGTGGGGTTACGAATTATGTGGGTTGGGGGTGTGGGGGCGCAGCCCCCGCGGTACGGTACAGGGTTGATTTTGTAATTATGTACCAGGGTTTTCTATTATAAATAGAGATGTAACCTAGACCTAAAAAGATCATTGAATAAAACTTCTAGCGCCGCCTAGGCACCGAGGACGTAAGCACATTGCCGAACCTCGTAAAATTCTCGTGTTCTTTCGTTTTTTTTACCCGTTTTCGTCAACAGTTATTGACCGGCTTAACAAGATAATGAGGAGTCTTGGGTGCTAAGAAAATTCTTTCTTTTCTTTTTTCCAAACTTCGGTTTCCGGCACTTGCTGAACGAACATAGAAGAGATTATCTAGTCTTTGCGGGTGGTTGAATTCATAGCTGACCGAAAAGGACTGTGATAGAAAGGGAGATGGTGAAACCATTCGGGTTGGTGATGGATAATATGGCGTCGTTAATTCATTCGGAGACGGAAAATTTCCCGGTCTGCTATGCCATCTTTCAATGTAAGCCTGTAGGTCTGATTTCAATAATTTTTTTAGTTTGAAGCAATTCATGGTCCTCATTTTCTCAGGAAAAGGAGATGGGGCTTGGTAACTGCTAATGTATCTTACAATGAGTTCAACAAGAAAATTTTCTTGTCTGAAATTTATACCATTTCTTTTTCCATGTCAATAAATTTATTACCTACAGATATTACGTTTATATACAAGTTAGGTAAACTATTCCAAATGTCCCTAAATTTTAAGATTTGTATTGATTTTATTATTGAGTTTTAAAATATTTCAATTTTAACGTTAAATTTTAGTTTTAGCTTCAATGAAAGCAATTGGTCCGCTAAATTTTTTAACACATGTAATAATTTTGCCACTATATTTTAAAACATTTTATTTTTGAGCATTGGATTTCAATTTACGTATTATTTTGATTCTTGCAGACAATCGTCAATTCCTTCAGTCACCGTATGTTATAGATCGTCATTCACAATAAGATCAATACGTTCAAATTTTACTCTCATTTCTTTTCTTCATATTGATTTTTTACAAAACTCAATTAACGAAAAATAAGCTAAAAAATCATCGTCCTAATACTTTGATTTTTTTCGACGGCCGTTCGATGAAACTAGTTTCGACGTATATTATTTGTATCGAAAAAATTAACTTATCGAAATAGGAGCACTTACATAAAGTTAATGAACAACTAACTTCCACGAACAAATGCGTATGAAGGTAATATAATATAACAGTGTTGAATTAAGACAATTCCGTACTTGACATTCGAAATAAGAGTTTAACCACTAATACAATCTCCAAATGCTCCGGAAAAGGTTAAACAAAGATCTGAAATATGGAATCTCTAGTAACAAAACTTTAGGCAGCTCTTTATCTGGATCTTCTTCATGTAGAACTCCAGCTCTTTGCCTTCCAAAATGCACCTGTAATTACCCGAAGAGATTAGTGATTGTAAAAGCAAATGTGGTTGACAATATGGTAAAAGGTGCAAGGTTTGAGGGAATATAATATAAGGCCATGGGAAGAGATTACATACCCATCAGCACGGCCGCACTGACCAGGTCGTGAAGTGATACGGGCCAGTAATCGACAACTTGCAGAAACAAACATACACATGCTAACATGACATGAACATCATCTCATCAGTAGTTAAAGTAACTCATCAACATATGAACCACTCTATGATTGAAGCAATAATATCCAATTGAAAAAGAAAATAAAAATTCCTACTACCTCTGATTCCTTCTTGCCTGCTGCTGCAGCTGATTTACCGATGTCGATATTATAGTGCTGGAGATACCATTGCTTGAATGGAGCAGCATCAACTTGAACAATAGTACTCTTCACCAGAGTTTGAGTACGAACAAGCTCATTGTTAGATGCATTGTACACCACATCCAAAATTCTGGTTTTACGAGTCACGGCCTCACTTCCCCAAGAATAGTTTCCGGTGTCGAGCCTCAGAGCACGCCACTTCACATTTCCACCACGAACCCTAATCCTCCTGACGGTCTTGTTGCTTGACAACTTTAAAACCAAACCATCAAACATTACGATAAATGCAGGCTGAAAGATCAAGTGAAAATCTGAACTAATGGTCGACAGTGGAATAACAGTTCAAGTAAATAAAGTGAACAAAACACCATTTTTTTAACTAATTCTAAATCAACTCTCTAAGAAACAAACCACATAAAAAATGAAATTAAACTCATTAAGCAAAGGGTTTTGCAGATTACTTCCTCTTCTTCCTCCAAGTTTTCTTCTTGCCACCAGTTGCATGCCTCTTGTGCATAGAATCACGAGAAATACCTGTCACAAAAACGAAATTAAACTCATTAAGCAAGAAAAATTACATGATTTAGAAGATATTAATGAAAAATAATAATTAGAGGACTTCGAGAAATACCCATTTTGGCTGAGAGAAAGCTCAAGCCTTTACGTAGAGTTTTATGCGTTGAAGCAAATCTATGAATAAAATAAAAGCTAGGCTTTCAGAGGAAGTAATAGGCGGCAATTTGAGCTTGGATATACGCAAAAATCCTACTTTTTTTAATGTACTTTAGGATAAACTATACAAATGGTCACCTACTTTTGAAATTTCAGCAACATTTTGTCTTCTTCGGATCGGAAACAGCTAAAGCTCCCATCTTTGCTCAACTATGGCAACAAATTGGCATAAATTTATTCCTTCTCTCTCCAAAATTCCTTTGCAAATTTTTAGATAACAATTCGAATCCCTCTTTCCCTTTGTTGTTATAACACATTACCCACTTTCTTGAATCCATCAGTGTCTGCAAAAATCTAGTCTTGGATACATTTCGAGAGTGTTTTGATGGGATTTGCACTATTGGGTTCATCGGGTTCTTATGCTTCAGTGAGAGGTTCCCATCAATGGAATGCCAAGTTTCAATCTTTCACTTTGAAAGAGGTTTGTTGTTAATTATAAACTTGGTAGATTTCCACTTTGCAAGAGTCAGTTTGTTGACTTTGAAGGAAGAACAAGCCCAAATGAGTTAATCCTTTGGATAGCCTGGAGAAAGCTGATTACATTGGATAGCCATAGATTTTCAATCAACCCCTCACTGGAACCAGAAAGACGGCTCTTACAAGTTTTTCTATAGGCTACCGATCTTCAATCAAATGTTTTTATTTTGATCCACAATCATGCAGACTATATATATTAACGCAACAAAAGAAGAAACAATTTCATATTTCCACTAGCAAAAGCTTTCAGAGAAATTTCAGTCTACATTCTAACGATACAACTCGAACATTCAAATCTACATATAACATACAATTAACATTGGTCAATGGTTCCCATCCCATCAGTTACCTGTAGGAAACGTGCCTTTCTTCGGTTTTACTAATGACTTGTAGAAAGAAGAAAAAGCTCCTCTCAGCTCATCTGGAATTGGGAGTGAAAGAGGGAACAGTAAAGGACGAGGTCCCTTGTGGTGCCCGCTCTTGTTTCCAATGGAAAATGAATGTGCCAGTGCCGGTTGCTGCTTGTTAAGCCCTTCAACGATAAACGAGAATGCCCCAAATGTGAGACAGCTCTGTAGAAGTGCCTGGGATGCACCTGCGTAATCATTTAAAGAAAAATTAAGGCTCAAACCAAAACCTGAGTTTTACAACAATCAACTGAATCTAGAGATTCTTATACCTGGAAAACTTAGAGCCAGTCCAGTGGAACATCCAGCTACACCAGCATTGATAACTGCAGAGGAAGATAACATTACCGAATATTAACATACCAATCACAAATAAGGGGCGGTGTTACTAAGATTTTCATATACCATCATCTTTTCCCCGCAACCTCTTCCAAAAGCAAACGACAAAACTGTGTACACCCGACAAAACTGCAAATGTCTATAAAGGAAAAACATATAAGATAAGTTAGAGATTTGTTCACTCCAAGGGGGAAGAGCTAAAAGTTAATCACTTAAATTCCAAATGACAAGATACTCTTATACCTTGGCATAAGATCCTGCCTCCACAAAGGATCCTTTAAATCCTTTCTTTCTAAACAATCCTGAACCTGAAACAAATGCAGAGCTGAATGAGGAGCAAGAGAATACTTTTTGAGAATGCCAAAAAGATTTGCAAAACATTCATGCTTAAAGAATTTCAAGTCACCATTATCCAAATACCCGTGCTTTGTTGTAAGGTAATTATTCAACCCATATTACAATTCGAGATGCGGAAAATTCCATTGTTGAAACATTTTTTGACGACTGCATCCACTCAACCTCTACCATGGTCCATTATTCCATAATGCACATTATTCTGATAGCTTCAAGTTTGAACTCATACAATATAGCAAAGAATCCATATAACAAAATTCCAATAACACTAGGCTAAAAATTAAAATCAAAGCTAAGACAAAAGGAAGAAAGAAACTCACTACGAAATTCAAATAAAAAATTTGTTCATTACTGAAGCTAAGACAAGACAAAAAGAAAATAAAGAGAAAAAGACCATTTTGCAAAAAAAAATTATAAAAGAAGAAGCGAATGATACCGTAGCCGCAGATGGAGCCCATGAAAGCACCAGCGGCGGAGTCTCCTGCGAATTGAAAGAGGCATAGGGCGGGTGAATTGGAATCGAGAGGATTGGGGATTATGGCTTTTGAAGAATTAGGTTTAGTTGTTTCAATATCTTCAGAAGAAGAGCTTGAAGAATCCACAATAGCCATTCCCGCCCCCCGGAAAACAAATGAGAAAGAAAAGGAACAAACCCTGTCCTTTTTTTCGCTTTAGTCTCTGTAGCTATCGCCAGTTTCTGAGAAGAAATTGGAATATATAAAAATTGAAATCTTAATCTGAAATATGATTGGCAGGAAATTAAATTGAAATACAATTTTATATTATGTTTGATTTGTAAACGGATGAATTTGATTTTAGTATTGTAAAATGATAGAATTGTCCTTCTTATTTTTTTTTTGCTTAATTTTAGTTTGTTTTATAACTTACATGTAAAATATATTATAAAAACTAGAAACCCGACCCGAAATAATAATAAAAAAAATTATTCAATAAAAACAGTGACTTAATTGAAAAAAAATTATATATAGAGGAGTATTATTATAATTATTCTTAAATATATAAGGTAAAATTATATATATATTTCGGGTTGGGTCGGGTCGGGTATTTTTCACCCTAAACTCGAACCCTACCCGAATATCACACTTAAAAAAACTCGGCCCGACCCCGACCCGAATATCACACTTAAAAAAACCTAACTGACCCGACCCGAATATCAAATTTAAAAAAACCCGACCCGATCTTGAAATTTTTTAAAAAAACCTGAATGACCCGACCCGAATATCAAACTTAAAAAAATCCGACCCGAGCCCGAATTTTTTTATAAAAAAATCCGAATCGATCCTGAAAGTTTTTTAAAAAAAATCCGACCCGAATACCAAAATATTGATGAGGGTAGTATGGTCAAATTTCACATTTACTCTTCAAAAAATTTCAATTCCATCATGTTATTCCCCCTAATTTTAAGGGATTCCATCGAGCCAAATGTCACCTTACTTTTGCTTATTTCCATACGGCGCCGTTTAACTCCTGCAATAGAATTCTACGCATGACTATAAACTTCAAGGGCATTAATAAATTTAAGTAGAGGTCATTAAACTATATTTGAAGGTTTGTTTTGGTTATTAAAATTTTGAAAAATAAGAAATGATCACTAAAGTTATTGAACTATTATAAAACAATCACTATAATGTTATATTAAGTGTAAGAGTTTGACAAATTTAATGGTTATTTTATAATAGTTTAAAAAATAATGGATATTAAAATTCAATGATCATTTATACATAATTTAATTACTGTTAATATACTTTATTTTAATAAATTTAAGGTTTAATTTACTTTTTAATATTTGTATTTATATTTTTTTAATATAGTAAATTTGACTTTTTTTAATCTAAACCGGTATCTAAAGTTATTGTCTTTTTAAATATAAAAGAGGCCAGTTGCCATTACAAAAGGAGATTAAAAAGGAATAAAACTAGAACCATGTAAGTCCCGAGCAGTATGGGCAGTGATTTCTTGTGGTGCATTGGTGTAGATACTGTTTTCTAATAAGGTATTATTTTTGTTTTCTAATCTAATATTATTTTTGAATATGTCATTTTCCGAATGTATTAAATTAAAAAAATATATTTTATTAAAAAAACAAATATTTTATTAAAAAAAATCAATTCATGTATATAAGACCTAAGTTTAGGCGGAAATCAAATCTGTAACCCAAGAAGCATTTAGGTGAATATCAAAATCCTAAATTAAATTACACTCAAAATTTTATGAATGATCAGTTGGGAGTGTCGCTCATAATGGATTTCTGTAAAATTTGATCTAGATTAATTGATTAACAGATCAAATATCAATGATTAATTAAAAAAATTATGAATGGGTCATTAGCCTAGCCCATTAAACCTGATCTCACGATCATAAAATAGCCCATTTGAAAACTAACTTGTGCTTATGCTCTTCTACTTCTATAGTTTACTGGTATAAAAAATAGAAACCCTAAACTGCCACAAGACAGGTGATATTATCCTAACCCTGAATTGGGGTGTTATATAATATGTAGAAACAGCAAGCAGAATGTTCTAAAATTTGTTTAATGGATAGCGTGCTTCATTTTTTTTCCAAATATTTAATTGGAAACTGTGGGGTGCATGTGTGCTTTGGCAGGGCTCAAGGGCTATAAAAAGTCAAAGGACATGGGCGTAAACTACACCTTGAAAACAATCAACAAAGAGTAATTCAAAGGGTGTGTAGCAAATGTAATTTTTTTAATTGTGATACGATTTCAGGAGTCAAGATTTGATGACATTTTAGTGAAGAAAATGCAGAGCATCTGTTGCTATATTTTGATGAGAATATTAAGCAGTGACTCATCTATAAAACATTTATGGTGGAATTACAGGAAAGCTTACAAGGGGCTAATAAGGGCTATTTTTACTAATGTTTTTGTACCCATGCTAATGGAGAATATATCAACATATATATATATATATATATATGTGCAAATTAAAAAAAAAGA